GGATGGAGTCACTGAAGCAGTCGGTGTGAGCTTAAATGGACTCCAGAGGATGATGGAAGACAGGAAGGCCTGGAGGAACGTAGTCCATGGGGTCATGATGGATCGAACATTCCTTTGCAATTAACATCATCAACAACACAAAATATAGATATCCTAAATATCTATTTACCTCTGACAATTCTGTACCACACGCGGCCATTCACACCTTCATCTGCATCCATGGCTTTCACCTGTTAGAAATGAACAAGAAAAACAACAATAATGCAGCTGTTTTCATGTTGAATCAAATGCCAGCTACTTCAATGTGTTTATTTATTTATAATGCTGTTCTCCTCCCCTTGTCATTCTAGCCCCAGGGCAGCTTACATTTGATAAAACATAAACTTGTTTTAAGACTTAATTAAAACTGTAAAGACAAGGGGGGGGGAAATCAAAAGGTGAGTTCCGCACGACTGTTAGGAAAATGGACAAAATATTATCATCACAGGAAAAATATTTTATTATTCCGCATTCTGTAAAATAACTACAATGGAAAGAGGTAGAGACGAATCGGTCCCAAAATGGAAAATATTATTTTTAGGGCATTATTAAATATGAATACATTAGGTCTGCAGTAGACACTTGCTATGTTTATGCTTAGCATGCATAAATTAAATTACTTATTTATTTTATTTTATTAATATCCTGCCTTTATTATTTTGATAAATAACTCAAGATGGTGAACATACCAAATACTCTTTCCTCCTCTGATTTTCTCACAATGACAACCCTATGAAGTGGGTTGGGCTGAGAGAAAGTGATTGGTCCCAAGTCACAATCTCCTGGTTGCTAGGCCAGCACTTTAACCACTAGACCAGGGGACTCCAACCTTGGCAACTTTAAGGCTGGCGGACTTCAACTCCCAGAATTCCCCAGCCCGTGGGCCAGATGTGTCACGCACTGGCCACACCCACATCCTGTTTAACAAAGGGGGGGGAAGCCCAGATACATCACGTGATGTTGCCATGACAACGTGAGTTTGACACTCCTGCACTAGACCAAATATTAAAAAGTTCATGACATGTTATTGAGGTGATAGTTGCATAGTTGGTTTGTATCAAGTGAAGGCTGAGGAGCCACCAGCTGCAATTTTGACTTGGGTCCCCTAGATTTCCCCACCTGGTTTCTCAATCTCTCTTAACTTACAAAAAGAAAGGTGTGATAGGAGTGGTGCAGTGGCCTAGAGCGGGAGCTCTTGCCTCACAAGTAGGAGGCTGTGAGTTTGATCCTAGGAAGCAGCAGATATTTCTCTCTGGGCACAATGAGTAAATATCGGCTGTGCATTGGCAACAGGAAGGACATCCGGCCAGTAAATGCTGTGCTACATTCAATTGCCCTGACTGCACCCCGATGCAAGGGATGATGTGGTCATTAAAAGGTGTGTGTGTGTGCGTGTGTGTGTCTGTGTGTGTGTCTGTGCATGATTTTAGCTCCTAGCAACCATATAGATTGGCGATGGTGCACCTATGATAATACCAGTCACAGGTGACATGCCATGTCATTTTCAATATTAGCATGCCCCATACTTGCTTGATTTTCTGAGGCTGCAGAAGTCCCATGAGAACATGGTGTACTTTCACATGGCCCCTGGACCATCCGGAAGTCACAGAAGAGAGTGTGCACTCTTACATATCCCCTGGAGCAGTGGTGGGTTGCTGGCGTCTATGTGGATGCATGCAGTGGGCGTGCACAAGCACGCAGCGCGTGCATGCACCTTGGCACTTCTGTGAGCCTCTGCGATGCTCCAGCTGTTCAGCAGAGCATCATGCAGGCGCTGTACGCATTGTGCACGTACAGTAAGAAATGAGGGC